CTGTCATTAGGCCACACCTGACGTATGTGTGTGTGTGTGTGTGTGTGTGTGTGTCCTGGGCTAGTGCAGTAGAGATAAACCTGCTCTCTCTCTCTCTCTCTCTCTCTCTCTCTCACACACGCTCCGTCGCCTCCCCCACTCCACAACACTGCCAGGACAAACACTGCCTCTCACCTTTGATCTGATTACACAGCAAATTGTTTCGTTATCTGTACCATCAAGTATATCTAAGAGGGTTTATTTATTTCATATTTCCACCATAAATATTTTTCAGATGAAGTGAAATAATTTTTGTGGTTCGTGTTTATTGGTAGCTGAGTTTATAAGCCTCGATACAGGGTTTATTTTAGTAATTTTATGGGATATTTCAGATTTGATTTACTGTATTTCAGAACGACGTCAATGTGGTTTTTTTTATATAGGTAAATTGAGAGTATATTAAGGATTGTGTTTAGTTGGTGGAGGTGGTAGTGATGATGATGGTGATGGTGTTGGTGATGGTGTTGGTGGTGGTGTTGGTGGTGGTGTTGGTGGAGGTGGTAGTGATGATGATGTTGATGGTGTTGGTGATGGTGTTGGTGGTGGTGTTGGTGGTGGTGGTGTAATGAGACAAGTCTCACAAGAAGAAGATTACATATAGGTAGAATATTGATAGTATAAGAGTATAAAAGAGAGAAAGACTTTGGTAGCGTGGCCGTGATAGTTATTTGATGATGAATTTACACTTATCGTATCTTATATATCAATACACATCTATTACGTCTTAAGGGCGACTTCTCAAACACCGCTTCGTTACAACTCTTTATTAATTACGAACATGACATGGACACATTAATAACACCTTCTATTGAAGTTACTAGGACATTATGTTTACGTTACTAGGACATCATATTACGTTACTAGACACTGATTCTCGGACACGAACATGAAATGAATACACTTCCCACGTAAGTAACTCATCCCATGGAAAGCTCTGACAAACACTCACGTGACCTAGGGGAGGCCTAGCAGGTGGTCCTGGGTTGTCTTTATGGGAGACTGCTTAGCTGGGCACCGGTGTGTCGAGGGCAACTCGCTCCCGACCGGAGGCGACCGGAGGCGGCTTGCCTCCGGCCCCTGACTTCTCTCGAGCAGGACTGGGGACGTGGTAGCTGGCCCTTCTTGGTTACAAGACACACTCTCTCTCTGTCTCTCTCTGGGCAGAGGGAGGACTAGGACGTCCTATATATTGGGAGGCGAGCCGTCAGGTTGAGCTGATCGGGGGGGCGGCGAAGGGTCTCCTTACATTTGCCCTCGCTAATGTAGGGTCAGGTCTGGACTTTTTCAGAGACTACAAGTTGTATATTCTGGATTTATAACCCTTGGTCAGCCGCAAGAGTTACCCTACACTTGACCCCCCTAATGTCGGGTCAAGTCTGGACTGTTTCTGAGATGTAAGCTGTGGTCTGACAACCCATCACTACACCTCCCGCCAAGACCAAAGCTTTCATACTCAGAGAACTGATGACACATTTAAAGTAGACAGTAACATCATGTGCAGTATCTAATATAGTCCCTGAGGCGATAATGCATCCTTACATTTTACAAATAATAACCCTAGAGATGTATGTTTTTCTACTGGCATAGTTTGATCTGACAAAGCTTACTATAGTGGTAATGGTGGTGGTGGTAATGGTGGTGGTGGTGGTAATGGTGGTGGTGGTGGTAATGGTGATAAATGCGTCAAGAAGATTTATTGAAAGGAATTAAGGTTTTATTTATATCGATGTGAGTCTTGTTTATTTATTTTTTCTGTGAGTTGGCAAGATCTGTGTAGTGGTACCTGGTCACTGATTCACTGACTCACTGACTCACTCACTCGCTCACTGCCTCACTCGCTCACTGATTCACCTACTCATTAACTTACTCAATCATTGACTTACTCATGCACCCACTCATTAACTCACTGACTCACCCAATCACTGACTGACTGACTCACTTACTTACGTCACCCACAAAGGCTCATATTATACCTGGGTGAAAAAACTAATATATTCTTAAGAAAAGTTCCAGGCACAGAATTCTTGGATCACCTGAAGAATAGCCACCCCCTAGCATATTTCACCTTATGATTAAACACCCTAACGGTAACCTAACCTAACCAAACCAAACCTAACCTAACCTAACCAAACCAAACCTAACCTAACCTATTCCATTCCCAGATACAAGTGGTTATATTTTAAAGATGTGCAACAGAAATGTAGGGGGGGGGAGAGTTGTTTGCTTGTTTACTCTGCCGTGTGTACCTTGTGACGTCACTGTTTGTCCAAGGTGTAGACAACCCTCACAGACCTCTAACCTCCCGCCGCCCACCTTCTCCTCCTCCGCCCATTCAAGGATCTGATAATATCTGCAGTTGGGAGAAACAGCCTAATATGCCCTCTCCAAATATCCTTCGTCAGGCACTTGGTGATAGCTGGACCAGAGGAAGGAGGAGGAGAGAGGGGGGAGAGAGAAGGAG